CCAGTTATCGCCCAATATCACTTATTAACGCAGATCTTAAAATCATCTAGCATCACCTAGCAAGAAGGCTAGAGAAGGTCACTCCTGGTATAATACACTCTGACCAAACAGGATTTATTAAGGGCAGGCACTCCACCAACAATACACGCAGGCTACTTATACGTAACGTAACGTAACGTAATAGACTATGCTACTATTCATAACCTGGAAACTACAGTTGTTTCTTTAGATAAAGTAAGAGTAAATTGTAAATTTCTATTCGCTACTTTTCATAGATTGGATTAAAATCTTATACAGTTCCCCAAGAGCTTCTGTCAAAACAAATGATCATACTTCTCCATGCTTTAGTCTCCAGAGGGGTACCAGGCAGGGTTGCCCACTCTCTCCCTCGCTATTTGCTATTTTTATAGAACCGCTAGCAGCTGCTATCAGACAAAATAATAATATTAAAGGAATTCAAACAGAAAATATACACCACAAGATAAGCCTTTATGCAGATGATGTATTACTTTTCCTCCTAAACTCACAAACTTCTCTTTCTGAGACAATCACACTTATAGATAAATTCTCATCCATCTCAGACTACTCCATTAACTGGAGTAAATCCATAGTTTTACCTGTAAAGTGTGATTTCCAGAGTATATCTACCACACCGCTAAAGTCTGGGAATATTAAATATCTGGGTGTCAATATTTCCTCCAGGCTGTCAGAACTGACATGGCTAAACTACACGCCTTTTCTTAAATCAGTAGAGGATGACCTTGTACGGTGGACATCATTACCTATATCACTCATGGGAAGAGTCTCCACCATAAAAATGATGGTCCTACCTAAAATCAATTACCTGTTTTAAATGTTACCCACCAAACCCTCTGCTGTCTGGTTTAAATCTCTGGACTCAAACATCTCAAAATTTTTGTGGAAAAATAAACCCCCACGAATCAGTCTAAAAACTATGCAAAAAGCAAAAGACTGTGGTGGTTTAGAACTGCCAAATTTTTATCATTACTTCCTGTCCAATAGACTACAATATATCTCAAAATGGATCAATCAGAGCCCCCTGGACCACTCATGGATGGACATAGAACAAACATTCTGTAAGGAAATTAAAATTTCCGATATGCCATTCATCAGTTCCAGCATCAAACGTCATACCTGCTTTAAAAGCATTAACATAAGCACTTCCTTGGCAGCTTGGTGGGAACTTCTCAAAATATCTGGGTCTTCACCTATCCCATGCAGATTTACCCCAATCTGGAATAATCCTGACATCCTGCAAAATAAGAAAACACTAAATTCCCCACTGTGGTTTGACAAAGAGCATGTAATGCAAGGTAGTAACTTTATTCCATTCCAGGATCTAGTGGCCTCGGGGGATGGGGGCGGTTTGCGCCGGCTGGCATCTCTCCTGTGCAGCGCATTACTTGGCTGTTGTGTGCCGCTAGATTGGTAGCGGGGTAGTGTTGGTTGGCTCACCTGTAGGTCGTTATTGGCCTGTGTGCATGCTGTGTATCCTGATAATTACATTTCGGTTCTCTGAGGGGTCTGGCAACTGGTTGTTGGAGGGGTGGGGAACCAGGAAGAAGGGGTTGACGGGGTGGTGGGTGCGGGCTGGTCCTTTTTGAGCTGGTCTCCTCTGGATTTTAGTGCCCGGACTGGATGCTTGGTAGTTGGTGTGGGGATCCTGTGTGTGGAGGGATTGTGCTTTGGGGTGTGTCGATGGTTGCTTCGCAGTCGCGTCGCGGCCCTCTGGATTGTGGTCGTGTTGAGTCCTAGGGGGGCTGGGTGCATCTGCTTTTTTTTTCTGACTTTTTCTGTGTGTGGGATGCTTCGCTGCTAGGGAGGGAAAGGCGGGGGGGTGGGGGTCTTCTGGCCTGACCTGGCCTGAGTGGCATTGCCTCCTGGGTGTGGGCTGACCTTCGGGTCTGGGCTGTTGGGCCGTTCTGTCCTTGGGCGGGGTCTTTGCTGCTCCGGACCTGCTCCCTTGTAGGGGGGGGTTGTGCCAGCTCCGATGGCCTGGTGGTGCTCGGAGTGCTCCTGATTGTGGGAGCGGTGAGGTGGGGGGATGGCAGTGGGGCTGGGGATTGTTGGACTTTGGGTTGGCTGCACTGACCTGCCTAGTCTTTTCGACTACTCAAAGCGCTTTTACACTACATCTGCATTCACCAGTCATTCATACACTGAGCCTAAGTGCTCAAACAGAAACTAGCATTCACACTCATTCATACACTGGCGGAACTGCCTGGGCCCGTCCTGGGGATGGAGGGGGGGTTGTCGCTGACTCTGGGGTGCTGCCAGTGCTAGAGGGGCTCTTGCTATAAGCCCTGGGCTGGAGGGACCTGAATGAATGATGGGGCCAGTCAGGAATCTGGTCTCCTAGCCTCCCTATGACCTCCTTCACCTTTCCCCCTTTGGTCATGTCTCACAACATACACCCTTAGGACCCTGGGGGGCGGGCAGCCTGCAGGGTGTTTGGGGGGTGGGGCTGCTTTATTGCGGCCTTGCACTTCTTCCTCCCTCACTGCCCGCCCCTCAATTTTAATTACACATTAGACACAGAGGGCTTGGGGGGTGGGAGGGGAACGATGGGAGGCTCCACTACCTGACAGTTGTGGGGTGCCTGTGTCACAACTACCCTCCAATTTTAGTTGCACCTTAGTTACCACACACCTTATCTTTACTCCACCATACAACACTTCACAATCCATGACATGCATCCAACACAAAACAATACATTTACAGAGGCAGGCAGAGGGGTTGAAGGAGTGGGGGAGATTCTCATTGGCCTCGTGTCCTACCCCTGGAGCCCCGGGCGTCGGGGGTGCTGTGGGGTTGGTGATGGCCGTGCCTGATCTGGGGTGGGCTGGGGGGGGTCAGGGACTGGGGACTCGGGCTTTTGGCCTTTGCTCATTTCTGGGCGGGTGCTGTGTCCCTGGGCCTGGGGGCCCGTTGTCTCCTCTCCTCGCCTGGGCCCTCTTTGGCAGAGGTGAGGCTCCCGCTGCTTCCCCCTGCCAGCTCTCTCACGGTGGGGGCATTCGGGAGTCTCTGGGGCGCATGGCCGGTGTTGTCGGGGTAGGTTTTGGTGCTCCTCCTTGGGGGTGCTTGACTGGGTGGGGCTGGGCCCCTGTCCGGGGATGAGATCGGCCTCGGGGGCTGCTGTCACTGCCTGCACTGTAGGGAGGGATGCCTCTGGCTGGGCTGGGGGGACCGTTGGCCTGGCTCTCCCACGTTGTCGCTCTCTGGCGGCAGGGAGCTTCCCGGCACGGCTTTCTGCTGTTCTTCCTTGGGGCGGGGTACAGCTTCCCCCGGGACATGCAGTCTGGGGTCCTTTGCGCTTTGGGGGGTCGCAGGGTGCCCTGGCTTCTGGGGGTGGGGGTCTCTGTGCGGGTTGATCCGATTGCGGTTTGTTTCTTGTTTTCATTTTTCTCTTAGTTGTCATTCTATGTCAGCTGTTTATTGCTGCTGTTCGGCTGGTTGTCTTTTACTATTATTATTATATTATTATTTATTGTTTGTTTTTGTTTGTGTTTGTTGTTGTTTTTCTCCTCCCCAAGCCCCCTCTCTGTTCTATTTCAGGTTTCATTGCTTTCTGCAATTGGTGTTTGCCACAGCTTTTCCCTGTTGTCCCCACCTTCCATCCCCCTTTCCCCCTTCTCTTACAGGTCTTGTCCTTTCTCTGTGCTGTCTGTTTGTGCCCCCCCATCCCCGTGTCTGCCCCCCTGTCCGGCCCGGTGACAAATCAATACATAATTAAATAAATAATACAGAATAAAACAGACAAAGGAGTATTTTAATACTCTCTTGTTAAAGTAAAATCTGTCTGGCACAATATGGTATCCAGGTGATTATACTCTATACCAGGCTGCTGGGCAGGACAGGTTTAAAAAAGAAAAAAAAAGAGATGCAAAAGAATCTCATGGGTTAAAAGCAAAAAGGCCATGCAAATCCTGTGTAAAGAAAAAAGCAGTGACTAGAGCTCAACAAGTGCTCAACACCGGAGCTCCCCAGGGCTGTGTGCTCAGCCCCCTCCTGTTCACGCTGTACACCCATGACTGCATCCCCCAACATGGAGAGAACTCTGTTGAAAAGTTTGCGGATGACACCACCATCATTGGCCGGATTTCAAACAAAGATGAGACTTCATATCGGGAGGAAATTCATAATCTTGCAGAGTGGTGCTCAGAGAACAACCTACTGCTCAACGTCAGCAAAACCAAGGAGCTGATCACTGATTTCAGGAAGAAGGAGATAAAGACACACACTCCTGTCTACATCAGTGGAGCTGAGGTGGAGCAGGTGAACAGTTTCAGGTTCCTGGGAATAAACATCATCTCACATCTCCAGGCTGCTGAAGAAAGCTCAGAAATGACTGTATTTCTTGAGGAAGCTTAAGAAGGCCAAATTCCTGTTAGCTTTTACAGAGGAGCAATAGAAAGCATCCTGACTGGCATGGGATGTGCACGGCCCAGGACCGGGGGCTCTGCAGCGGGTGATTAAAACTGCTCATAATTAACCCTAAATTATTTTTATTAAGGATTTTGGAAGTTTGGATAAGGAGGTAAAAAAAACATGGACAGCACCATTTTATAGAATAAGCCAAACTTGCATCAATATTAAAGACGCGTGAATACAAGAACTCTAAATTATGATTTTAATAGTGAAATATCTATTTAAAAGTAAATAAGACACTTTGACCCCTGCCTTTGTGCTAACTGCTGGTACTGTACTTTTTAAAATACATAGTATAGTTGGAAATACGGGGGCAGCTTCTCTAGTAAACCAAACTACCAGAACCGTAAATGCTTGAGACAAATTCGCCCTCAACCTGAAAAGGACCCTTGAAAGGGTGATCCAAAGAAAAGAGGTGAAAGAAGAGACAATCCATAGATGGCTCAACACTACTGTAAATGGCTCACCCAAATATTACAGCAGTAAAAGTTTTACATTTGTTGATGCATTTCAGTTTTTGTAGTGATCCTCTTTTCCTTTGTGTTCACCAGATGTGAGTGTACTAGGGACTCCCAGCCAGGTAGGGAAACAAAGGTTGTTCCATTTTGACCCAGAAATCAAATGTCTCTGTTGAACATTCACAGACTTCAGTAAATCGAACCTAGCTCCAACTTTACCACTGATTAATTCATTAATTGATTGATTAATAGATTGTTATCCATTTATTTAATCATTCATTGATATATAGCTTCCCCAGTACCACCAGACAACATGCCCCCAGTATGAGTCCAGAGATCAGACAGCCAACACCCAGCTTCAAGCCCTTTTAGCACGGTAAGTGGTTGGTGGCAAAAAGAAGCACTTACTGTCTCAACTTTGATGGGCGCCCTGAAGGACTATGTTGCAACCACTGCAGGTTTACAGCTGCACGGATTCTACACCTTTTTGTACCAAATAGTTATTTAGACACCATAATATATGAAAATAGGGCCCAGGTTTAAAAATACCAAAATTATCCTTTAAGAAAAGTACATTTTGATTCTGCTTATCGGGTCAAAAACTAATTTCACTTGCGCTAGTTTCAAATAAACAGTGTCCTGGGCATTGACGTTAAACTGCATCTGGGGCAGAGTGGGGAGGCTGTGCGTGGGGTAGGCTACACCCAGCTAACACCTATAAAATGTTACTGCTTCTCCATGCAGCTAGCGATGTGATAGCCTGGTTCAGTGTTGTCAGACCTCAGCGTCCACCACGTTTATAAGCATCATGTCCTTTTCCACCATAAAGGAAAGCCTCTGAGTTTTTGCCTCTGTACGCATCACTACAGCCTCTTATAGCTAACACTGACTCTTTTCCACTCTCAACTTGCACTGAAACGGTTGGGTGCTGACCTTTCAGGTGGTGCAACACTGACGTTGTACTGGATCTGTATTTTAAAATGGTGTTGCAGTATTTACATTGAGCCTTGTCCTCTTTTACAGTGTACAGTGTTTTGCCCTCTTCATCTTGCCCCATTTCCCACAGCAGAAATGGTACACAAATGTACATTTTCGGTTGTAATTTTAATCAGTTAACTTCTTAAAGAGGTGGTATTATGGTTTTTGGCTTTTTCCCTCTCCTTTATTGAGTTATATATCTTTTTTGTGCATGTACTAGGTTTGGAAAGTGAAAAAGCCCAAAGTCCAGCCCAAAGGGAGTTCCCATCTCCCACAGCAAGCTCTGCTCTGAACTGAAAATGGCTCGTTTGTAGTCCAGTCTTTACTTCCTTTCTTGTGACGTCACAATGAAAATACGTGTCATAACGCTCGTCAAGCGGCTACTCCAACACGCCCTCAAAAACACCGGGGGAAAAACAGTGAGCTGCACCACAGCTCTCCTCTCCCTACCAAACACTAGCTACCCTCCAGGCAGTCAGTGGACATAAAGTTGTTCCTGTGATGTAGAGACAGAGCTCAGTTAAAACTTCATGGATGAAAGATACTTTTGTTACAGATTATTAACTCACCACTCTGAAACTCTTGCTCCAGTCCATGTTGCCAACCTGGTCGGCAACATGTAGCCTACAGCTGAAACGAACCTGTGTTTACCGGCTTCTCACTGACCCGCCTTTCTCTGCTTCTGATTGGCTAGTAGTGCTTAACTAGGAACTGCGCATGTGCAACTCCCAACAAAGATCATTTAGAGACAAGATGCATCACTCCATAGCTAAAACAAAGCGTTCAATACACAGAATGAAAAGAGGAGCTGCAGCAATGTGCAGTATGACAAAAATATGGTGTTTTTTGAAAATGAAACCATGTAAGCCTGTTCTGGTACAACCCCTAAAGAAGAGTTTGAACCTGAAAATGAGCAGAATACCACCTCTTTAACAGCGATTAATCAATTTTCCAAGAATCATTACCATCCCTACACACTGCCTCAGTGCGTTGCATCAACACACATCTTTTGGATTATGATCTCTGTACATTGCCTATATTCTTTACAATTCAAACTGTGAACTTTTGTACATTCCATGGTCACTATTTTACACTTCACAAAACTGTACAGCCATTTTATAAGAAACTAAATATTTAGAAAAATATAGAAAAATAAATATTTTTAAATAAATATTTCAAATTGTATTATTATTTTCTGTTTATGACTTGCAGTACTTATTTTGCTTACTTTACTTTTTTTTATATCTTCTACTTACTATGTTTGATGTTGTTATACACCAAAAGACCAAGGCAAATTCCTTGTATGTGAAAATCTAGTTGGCCATAAACCTGATTCTGATTCCTTGTAGAACTGTTGGAACTTGTGAATCGAAGTCCAGGAAACCCTGCCACTGCACCAGATCCCAGTGCCTCAAACTGTGAGTAGCCGATCTTATTACTACTTTCATTTTGTGTTTTTTTTATAGCAGGATATAGTGTCAACCTCCTTCTGAGACATCATGCTCATCATCATCACATTTTTTTGTGGTCACCGAGAGTTGAAACTTTGGGAAAAACGCTGCGCTCGTCACTGTCACTTTTTACCCAGCCGTCCAATCACAGTAGAGGAGGGGCGGGACAAATAGCACACCGTAGCAACGGTTACTATCCTGGAACCGGGCATCGTCCTCTTGGACCAAACGGTGGAACTCGGCGAGTCCGTCCTCTCTCTCTACCTGCTTCAGCCTTCTCTCATACAGAGCAAGTACTCTGCTCTGTGTTGCCATTTTTACATCCAGTAAAGTTAGGTAGGTTATGTGTCATAGCAAACAAAGCAGGAGGAAAAAACGCTGCGCCTCAAAAACGCCCGCTAGCGCACCCTGCTGGGCATTTTCAAAAGAGCAGGTGGCGTTTTCAGCTGGTAAAAAATGCTTTGGTGGACACAGGGCCCAAAATATGACCATAAAACATTTTACTACAGACTGCCAACTCTGAGGGATATTTACTAAAGATTTTGAGCCCTTTTTATCCACTTAACAGTCAAAATGCCTTTGTTATTGTTTATTGACTGCACCAAGGTTTTGCGCTTTTAAAATAACCATAATAAAGTAGCACTACTGATAACTGCATGTTCGGTCGAATGCAGTATGCATTTTAAGGTGACCCTGCTCAGAGGTGCTAAATATGGGACAAATAGCTGCTGTACCTTATTTACATACAGCAGACTGACCACTGCAGCAGAATAAAATGTGTCTGGTATTTAACATCTGAGGAAAACAGCTTGTCAATCTGTCCCACTGTTTTATTGGACGCCCAGAAGATGAGAGACCATAGCCGGAGCCAAACAATGAGATAGACAGCAAGAGAGAGAGAAACACAAATTACAAGATGTTTAAAAGTGTAACCAGCTCCACTGATCTTTTTGTTTAGCTCAAATGATCAGGATATTTAATAATCCTCACATTGTATGTATATCCTACGGCATGAGTGCACGGTTGCATGTCCGAAAGTGTTTTCTCTTCAGAAAACACTTGTCCAGACATGCATAACTGCACTTTGTGCAAATTCAATCCGTTGTCACTACCCAACTTGTCACATATGAACATATGGACATGGTCAAGACCCATCGGCGTCAGTATGTAACACATTGGGGATCCCTTTAGCATCATAGTTCAACGCAGTGGGGGAAGCCCTGTAGTGTCAGTTTGTGACGGTAAAGTACTTTTTGTGCCTAGACCTAACCAAATTTCAACGTTTCACAACTTATAACGTGCCATTTCAAAATGGCAATGTTTCGCAGTGCTAGCGTTTTATTTTTAAAGTATATTGCATATTTATTGTTGCTAACTTTACCAGACGTTGCATATTTGTTGCTAACTTGACCGCGGAGCCCTAAGAAAACCGCTACTCATGGCGTTAGGAAGTGACTCCAAAGGGTCTTGACCAAGCGTCAGTATATGACAAGCTTCAGGCAGCTTTGTCAGACCAAGGAAGAGGCCTTCAGAAGTGGGGACAGATTCTTGTACAACCAGGCCAGAAACACAGTGACTACAGAGGTCAAAGCTGCAAAGAGATGCTACGCTGAAAAGCTAAATAACAGCTTTGCAGCCAACGACACTGCGTTGTTGTGGAGAAGCCTACGGACACTCACAAACTACAAGAGACCATCCCCCAACACTGCTGGTACTCAACAACTGGCAGACGCGCTGAAGCAGACAGCTGGCTCTCGGTGCGGTCAGAACAACCTGGAGCTTAACACACTCAAAACTGTGGAGATGACCGTGGACTTCAGGAGGAGCCCCCCCACTCTGCCCCCCATCACCATACTCAACAGCCCTGTGTCTGCTGTCGAATCCTTTAGGTTTCTGGGTTCCACCATATCCCAGGACCTGAAGTGGGAGCCCAACACTGCCACCATCAAGAAGGCCCAGCAGAGGGATGTACTTCCTGCGTCAGCTCAGGAAGCTCAACCTGCCTAAGGACCTGCTGATCCAGTTCTACACAGCCATCATCCAGTCTGGCACCTCCATCACTGTCTGGTTTAGATCTGCCACCAAAAAGACAGGAGCAGACTACAACGGACAGTCAGGACTGCAGAAAAAATAATCGGTGCCAACCTGCCCTCCATTCAGGACTTATACATTTCCAGAGTCAGGACAAACATCACTGCAGATCCATCTCACCCCAGACATAACCTGTTCGAGCTCCTCCCCTCTGGTAGGCGCTACAGAGCACTGTACGCCAAAACCAACAGACACAGAAGCAGTTTCTTCCCACAAGCCATCACTCTAATGAACAGCTGATTTCTGACTCACAGTGTCAGGAACAATTCCTGTGCAATAACCCAGTAACTCTGCCTCTAATCAGTCACCTGTTTACTGGTTTCCACTTATTATTTATTTATTCACCATTCTCTATTTCAGTACTGTTCATACTATTTGATTTGATTTGATATCTTTATTTTGAACATGTAAATAAAAATAATCAATTAAACAAAAAATGGTGGTAAAAAAAAAAGAACAACAAAGAAAAACTCCATACTTTCCAGTACTTAAAAACCTCAATTTACATGTGCAAAAAGGAGTAAAAAAAGTAAAACTTATGTACTCCTACCCCTTTATAGCCTTACTACCTTACTACTTAACTCTAAATAGATAATAAATCTCTAATCAATGAAAATATATATTCAAAAGTTCTATTCACATACAGATATTACCCATACACAACAATATTTATACATACTACAAATTCTTCAATATACTATGTCATATTGTATATACTGTATACCAATACACCTACCTCAGGTCAGAAGGTCATAGGTCTTATTTATTTTTTCCAGCATCCTTTGCACTATGCTCCATCACACTGTGTACATGTGTACATGTATGTGTATGTGTATCTGTATATAATATCCACCTTCAACATGTACATAATGAGAATAGTTTACTCTTGCATCCTTTGCACTCTGATTACTGCACTATTTGTCAATATGTCTGTATTGTTTTGTTCATAGAGTGTATATTAGTGTTCTATTCTTTATTATTATTTATTATTGTGTTATTGTATTATTGTATAAGTAAGCACATTGTGAGCAATGTACAATCCTGAGTCAAATTCCTCGTATGTGTACACATACCTGGCAATAAAGCTGATTCTGATTCTGATATCAGATGACCTGCAGCTGAGCCCCTGTCTGTGCTTTTGTGTGTTTGTCTCTTTCAGCTACTGTGAGTGTTTTGCCAATGGAGTGATGTGCAGCAACTGTGACTGCTCTAACTGCCACAACAATGCGGAGCATGAAATGAAGCGTCACAAGGCAATTAAGGTTTGTGATGCTTGTGGTAATCATGTTCACATCACAAATACACAAACACATGTATCTGTATGGCAGTTTAATGAAGTGCTTCACAGTGAGTCTTTAACATGTCTGGAAATATTTACAAAGAATAAATGAAGCCACTAATGACTAATGGAAAGCAGAAAACACTGATATATAAGATGACCAATCATAAAATTGGAAAATGGCAGACTGAGACCCCATTCAACTCAATGTACACAGTGAATAAATGAATAAATGACTCACCGGCAGAAATTATCTGAATGGTCAATCAACAGTAAGTACTAGATATGGTAAATGGTCTGTACTTGTATCGCTCCTTTCTAGTCAATCAAAGCACTTTACACTACATTTAATATTCACACACACACACCGATGGCACCGCTCCGGGAGCAATTTGGGGTTCAGTATCTTGCCCATCTGGACATGCAGACCTTCTGATTAGTGACGACCCGCTCTACCTCTAAGCGGCAGCCACCGTGACATATAAAGAAGTGAAAAAGAAAAAGAAAAAAATACATTATATTGATTACAGTGTGCAAGCAGTGAGCTGATAGTGTCACCATCCAGCTGTGGGATGGTACAGGATGGTTGACTGCTGTGTGAGCTGACTGCCAATCAGTCAGTAAGAGCTGAAACACATCGACTGTTGCTGGCTGCTGGTGTTTGAGCTGCTGTAGACAGTAAGATGTGAGTAGGGGTGACTGCATTGATTGTGTCTAATTGGTGCTCCAGCTCAGGTGATGGGTATCTGATTCATCAGCCTGTTACTGCTGTTACTGGAAAACTGGGGGGACATGTTGTCTCTCACTCTCTGATGTTTGTCTCAAACATACACTTTTGTCATTTGTAAGGACAGTGTATTGACTTACAATAACTTAATACAGGCTTAGCCATAACCACCACATGACAAACACAACTGTCACTCCAATTTTAATCTATTCCAGTGGTTCTCAAACTGAAGAGCGGGGCCCACTGGGGGGCTTAGAGCCCCCTCAGGGGGGTCGTGGATGTTGAGCGGATAAAGTAAAGTAGCATGAATATGATTCATGTGTTGACATAAAACAAAAAGGCTCTGATGCTAGCAAGGCTATTTTGCTAACCTCAGTGATGTTTCGCCCGTATTAAAGGGGCAATGTGTTGTTTTCAGCAGTCACTAGCAGTGCATTTTTTAAAATTGCAAGCAGGTGTGTGCTTGTATTCGTAAGTGTGCTCGAACTCATAAGCGAGCAGAATCCGACACACACAGACCGAAACACAGGGAGACAGCTCAGGTCAATTTCCACTGCAACGTTAAAGTAATTTTTATCAGCATGAGATTGAACTAATCCATGCTCGTTACATGACAATGTTACATTGACTCCATTTAGCTGACGTGTTATGTCAGCGTTAGCTCGCTTGCTGCTTTTTAATAACTATTTGTGTGTCTTTCACCGGAGGCTCAACCGTGTGAGCACAGCTAAATGTATTGGATTATAACGAAACAGTTAGTGAGCGAGACTGAATAATCTCTTGAGATTGTTGCCACACTTTTTAACAGTTAGGCCGCAGTAACATTACTGTAGTGAATGGGTCTTCTGCTGTGTTGCTGTCCGGCGCCGTTATGTTGCATTATTGTAGAAGTTACAGCGACTGAGCCGATGAAGCTGTGTTTTCACCTGACAGCCGTCTGATTGGTTTTTATCCTTACGTGGAGTCAGTGTTGAGCATGATATTTTAGCGGACTCCATCTCATTAGCTGTAGCATTGCTGTGTGTAAGGTGCAGAATATATAGAGTAGGCAAGAGGCTCGGGAGCAAGTGGATGGTTTTATGTCATGTTACAACCCCTGCACACACAGGCAATAAAAAGTGATTTATTTTACTACTTTTAAAACTACATAGCCCCTTTTGATGATTGATAATTAAAAAAAAACACATTTGCTGGGGTGTAACCTGACAACAGACAGAGTCTGTGTCTGGAACACCTTCACAGCGTGGCATCTAAAAGATATCTTGATGTTTTACCATCTCGACCGGCCCCTATAAATATGAAAAGGAGCAGCTCGCTAAAAATATCTTAGCACCTCAGATTAAGAGTGAGCCCAGTCACCAGAACAAAGTTCTACACCTCTTTGTCCCAGTCTCACTGTAAACAGAACATTATGAGCATCATTAAGAATTTGCTTGTTTCATTTTGAATATGTGTTCCTCTTATTTAGCTCAGCATATGCATATGTGTTTAATTACTTTTAGTATGTCTTCATAGTCAAAGGAACACTTGTGACTTTGATTACTTTTGAATTTGGGTCATTTTCTTTTGTAAAAAATTGAACAAGTAAGATAATGAAGAAATGAGCAGGAGCAACTGCAACAGGCTGCATGTACAGTCAGTGCATGTGCACTATTATAAGGATGCTCTGTGCAGTGGTAGTGGTAGTGTTTAGAGTTAGGACAGTAAAGGCTAATAAAACCACAATGTTGAGAGATGTATGATTTCTAACCCAAAATGTTCATTGGACGTGGCTGAGTGTCACAGCTGTGTCACGTCTTCCAATACCTACTGAAAGCATTTCAGTAGAACAACAGGAAAAGTAGTATATGTATATCATCGGTTATGGAATGTTAACAGTTTAATAATAATTTCCCTGTCCTTCTTGATGTAATCATTACTAGTGTTGTCATTATGGTAGTCATGTTTAGGTCGGAACCCAGATGCCTTCAGGTCTAAGATTGCTGGTGGGAAGTCAAGAGAGGTCAAAGGTTGGCACAACAAAGGCTGCAACTGTAAACGCTCCGGCTGCCTTAAGAACTACTGCGAGTGCTATGAGGTTTACAGACAGACAAACAGACACACACACACACACACACACACAAAGTGACCCAGATTTAATAAGCTGTTATAGAAATCATAAGGAAACCAAGTGGTAACTACAAGAGCTGAGTGCAGAAGCTGTTGTAGAAGTAAGTTAGGGCACCTTCAGACAGACATCAGCCCACTGGCAACACACTGCATTGGAGTGGGTGTGTTGGTAAGAGCTTGAAATACAAACCTGGAAGTCCATGCTCAGGGCTTATTACAAAGAAACAGTGCTTTATATACACTGGAGACAGTATTTTGTGAATTCTTGCTTGCAGTTTGATTGGCTAACACAGTGTAATACACCGCACTGCAGCAAAGGTTGAGCCATGATCAGCTTGACTTGAGTCTGCCATGATCTTTTGGACGACTTTGAAATAAATGAGGAGGATGCATATTTTGAGCAATGTTGTTGTGAATTTGAATGTGGCCTTATACTGCACATCTTGTAATAGCTCCCAGATGCTGGCTCCAACTAAGCGGAAACTTCTCGTACTAAGAACAAAATGACCTCCTCCTGTTTGTCTTGACTGACGGTCTCTCAGGCTTCTGTACTTAGTTTGGTAATTACCACTTTTTTGCCCAGCAGAGAATTACTGTAAGGTTAAATACAAATGGATTAATATGGAAGCATATAGACAGATTTTCTTTAGCATATCTGTTTCTTTTCTATTTTCTGTATGCTGGTGTTTAGTTACTGCAAATATAAAACAGTTTTATTCATTGCAGTCATTTTCACACACTTTTGTCAGTGTAAGGTCAAACAAGATATTTGGCTAATTGTATTTCTTTTGAAATGTGAGTTATACTGTTGTCTGTGTGCAGGCCAACATCATGTGTACCTCCAGCTGTAAATGTGTTGGCTGTAGAAACTACGATGACGGCTCAGAAACAGGCCTCAAAGAGAAGACTGTCAATGTCAAGGACAAGTGAGTCAGTCAAGTTTGACACAGTACATCATATTATGTCACAGCTGCGTCAGTGACACAGTGGCAGATTACTAAACCATATCACTGAAGATAAACCTGCTGCCATGTGGGAAGTAGAAACAGTGGGACTCATGCATAAACCATATGAGTGAATCTGTGAATCAAGAGTAGGGCTGGGCATCAAGAACTGGGGCCAAATAAATTTCAATTGTTTCAGCTTTATTTTTCAATGTATGTTTAATAAAAAAAGTACCATTAAAAAAGGTTAGAAGCTGTTTAGCTCGGCAAGATGAGAAAAGTGAGAAAAGTGCCATCGGTTGCTAGGTAACAGACAAAAACTGGTTAGTGTTGGATTGAGTATTTAGGATTTTTAACCTGAGATAAAATAGAATTATGATAAGATAAGATAGGATTCCTAAAGTTAGTTAGGATTTGCTTCTGTAATACCAAATTGGGAAAAATCTTAACTTAATCTTTCTGTAATACTAGTTCCAAATTAGAACCAGTTCCAAAATTCCAGTTCCAAAGGAATTGTTAAGAAATGTAAATTACAAACTCTGAGATGTTACTTCTGTCACTCTCCTCTCATTACAAACTCACTCATCAATGCCGTTTTTGGAACAAGCCACATTTCTTTGCTTTAGCATCACGTTCTCTGTAGACTGTAAATTAATTGGTTTGAATTTTTTGGAACACTGTTGCCATGTTGTCATTTTGGCAGGTTTCAGTGTTACAGTTAAAGTACAGTGAATTCAAAAATAACTATAGGATTATTATTGTATAATATTTAATAGTAACCAAATTCAACTGTATGAAATTAATTTACAGGTTCCATAAACTGTGTGTGAAAATAGAAATAATGAATTGCTGCCATATAAATAAAATTGAATTGGATTGTATTCTCCAAAACTCCAAGGGGCGTACAGACAAACATTCTGTGAAGAAGCAAGAACCAATTACATGGCTGCTATGCAGGGGAAAAATGTATTGGATTTTTTATGGACATACGTTATCCCCCTTATACAATGCCTGTAAAGTAACAAGTCAAGTATTTGTAAAAACAAATGTATTCTAATGAAGCCACTCCTGTAAACAATTTGATTCTGCTGATGTCACTTTAGGCGTGCACACCCTCGCAATGGGAACACTGCACTGAGCAGAAACAAAGCTTTACAGCGAGGCACTGTCCTCAATTACATCCCCAGGAGCACATTCACCACACACGCTCCAGCCATATACTGGCTTGGCACCTAGTCTTGTTTTCTTATGGAGATGTTTTACATTAGCAAGTAGATATTTTCTTCTAACTTCATATCCACCCTTTCTTTATCTCTGTCACAGTATGGCCCACTTTCTGCACTGCTAAATCTGTTACAGTAACAACTCCTGGTCTCTAATAGCAGCAGCCTCTGTGTTGTAAAGTATATTTAGCAATTTAGGGGCATCAAAGTTTACAACAAGTGTGTCTAGTTAGAGTGTGGTGAATCTAACTTTGAATGAAGAAAAACGTAATTGCCATTTAATGGTCATGTTTAACATGTCTGTGAAGGTTCTCAGTCATTCAGGTCATAGTTATCCAACAAAGGTTGAGGTCAAGGGCAACTGGACTTTGTAGAAGAAAAAACTAGAAGACGTTTTGTCCGTCATCCAAGAGACTTCTTCAGGAAACTCAGGGAAACTCAGCTATTTAACCTCTGGGATCATTAGCTCGGATCGTCAATACCGCTGGTTCGTCAGTGCTCCTGGCTGTGGTAACGACAGTCGTCATGGTCGTTAGAGCCACCCGTGGCCAAGTCTGAACGACCGTCTTCTAGCATCTTCAACCAAGTCCAGTTGCCCTGGACCTCAACCTTCGTTGGATATGTTTTAACATGCACCAGAGGAAGGGCCTTAGCCATCACGTTAATGTGTGTCTGTATTTGTGTTCAGATGGCCTGTATCGTGATAACCCCTGCTGTGGTGGAGGCTGTGTGTGGCTGTCTGCTGGCTCAGGCTGAGGGGGCTGAGAGAGAGGCCCAGAGCCGCGCCCAGGCTGAGCACATGGTCCTGGACGAGTTCGGACACTGTCTCACACAGATTGTCATGGCCATGTTCAAGTACAACACATACTGACAGAATTACACTGAGCTTAGGTTCATAGGATTGTGCTCCTGAGTGGAGTGAATTTCCAATATTTTAGTTTTATTGTTAATACCAGACAAACATTTATAAACAGCCGCACAGAGGTGTTTTTTTTTCTTTTCTTGCTGTTTGGGGTCTGTATGATTTCTTCAGAGTTAGTGTTCTGGTTCTGATTTAAATCTGGTGAGCATTCAACATTCAGAGGCAGTTCCAGTGTTTGTACCATAAATATTTCAAAGATTGTTCAAGGTGACTGCCTTCTGTAGCATATTTCAGTCTTTTAGACATAACAAGAAAATGAGTTGTCTAATCTATATATACAAATGAATGTAACAAATGTTCAAACTAACTAATTTAAAATACATTTTCTACTGTATTCAGTTTTGTTGTTAGATTTTTAAAGTGTATTTATTTATTTCCTTTTAGCTCAGCCTTGAGAATAATTCATGTATAGGCTGAACTGGTTCCATAATAAAAGTAATACTTTTGACATCTGCTGTTTCACTGGCTTCTGGCATTAAAGATACTTGAAGTAGAGAATCTTTGAGAATATTTGAGGTGGTTCTTTCATGGAGCAGATGTGGGATGAATAGTAGGAACCGCTACGTGTGTCATGAACACACATCCTGAGAGATTAAATATAGTCTGATTGTGTTAGACCACAGGGCTGAGTTTTAGAAATACTAAGGTCATGATTCTAAGTCCCCCTTCTTCAAAGAGAATGTTATTTATTTTCATTATTTAGATATGTTATTCCTTTTGTAAACAGTTCTGTTATATTGTATTTCCTAACATGAAGGTGTAATGCTGTTTTTAAAGATTCTCCACACTGCTTGGGAGAAAGGTCTTTTGGCAAAACAAAGAATCCCTTTTCTATGCTGTTTTGGTCTAAATGTAGTCAAATTTATACGACTCAAAGATGCACAAAAGGCACATTATTGCTTCTACAACTGATTACAATTCAAATTTAAGGGGTATGGTACAATACTGTGTACATCTATATATATATAGATGATAGTGTATGATATTGGATGTAAACTGTATTATAGATTAGACTACTAAGAAAGAATGTGCCGTCATTTCGTGAGAAACAGTCAGTGTTATTACACTGTAATCAATTCAGAGCATGCAGTGGACTCCCAAAGTCCCATATTTACTGCATTTCCTCTGCGGCTAGGGTACTCCCCTGGGTGTTAGCTGGCTCTGACTACCTCCTGGAAGTCCTACCAGGTGGGCTCTCTCATGTCTAAGGTGGAGGGTTTGCAAGGGCTCTGTGGGGCCCCGGCTCTTGCTCTCTGCTTAGATCACTAAGGGTGTAGCGAAGGAAGTGGTCAATCACTTCTTTTGAGCATGCAAGGCGACTCCAGCTCTTTCAGGAACCTAAACGGGTTAGCTATGAAGGCAGTCTGCTTCTGGTTCTCTCTCTCCCCCTGTTCCTGTGCCATGCCAGGGTCCGAATCTGTCTCCGGGCCTGGCTCGTCCTGCGTCTCACCAGAAGTGGATTGTGTGTGTTGCGTTGCTCTCTCCAGTGCCAAGCATTTAATTCCAGCCTGATGTTGATGTTCTGTTTGTCATGGTTATAAGTAGGTGCCCAGCAGCAAATTTCTGTCCCAGGTCCACTAACAGGTTTATCCAGCCATGTGGACTTTTGCTTCATATCTATTTATAGTCATATGCATGCACCTAATGCAGTTTATTAAAATATATGTGAATGGATGATGAAGGCAGGACTTAGGCTGTTGTAAAGATAGCTTTCAGAATCAAGGTCATTTCCTGACACTGAAACCCCAATTAATAAAAACAGCAGCAACATGAAATACCTCTGTTACTCACTGGGACAACATCACACACACAAACACAAAGCCCACCACTTGTAGGAACCACACAGCGGGTGCATACTATTGATGTTCCTCACTGCAGATCACGGTTGTGACGTCAGCCTGTGTTTTTGTGCTGTTTTTTTAGCCTCTAGTAAACAGGAGTCCTGCCAGGCCTCACAGGGAGCAGGATCGAACCTGTTGCTGCTGCTGCGGCTGCTGATGGGGGATATAAGCAGCCTGGAACATTGGTCTGAACACACACACATGCTGCGACTGGACCGGCTGTTCTCACTGCAGCAGATATGGTAAGTGGAAACAAAGTATTTACGTTCAGTCTGTGAGGCTTTCTTTCATAACTGGGCTGATGTAGGTATGTCTTTTTTGGAAAAGTTATTTTCATGAAATTCAGTCTACATCTGAAATGTATTCGACTGATTTTGTTGAATTTCATTTGTGTAAAAATGACCAATTCACAGAAGAAAAAACTCTTAATTATATTTATTTGTTAAATTATTCATTCATATATTTATTTAACACATAATTATTAGTGATAATTAAATATTATTGTATTCTTAGACATATTGTTTTTTCCCAATACATCAATTTTGTATTTTATTTACGATTGTTACAATTGTTTGCTATTACACAAAATGATATCAGTTTTTAAACAGCTTTAATACAAATTTGTTTCCTGTGAAGCATTCACAGCTGGTATGAAATGAAGCAAAACAAGCAAACAGTATAATTAGAGAGGCTGACTTCAATATTTATTTTCACTTGATGAATGACTATTGAAATCAATAACCACTTCACACAATGAAGCTCCAAGTGCTTTACAAAAGACAAAAATGACCAGTGCATTTAAACAGCAGCTGCACTTTTAAAATATAGTTATATAGAAATAATCAAAATATAGTATAATAGCGGGAAACAGTACAATAAAGTACAATAAAGAACCGTTAAAAAAAGATAAAATAATGACGTGGTAACAACAGTAATAACCATAATGAGAACTACAAAAACCACTAACACCATGATTATAGCAATTGTAAATTCCTAAAATTGAACAGGCATGTGCATCATTTAACAGATCGAGATCAAATCAAGGCAGAAATTGAGTTTTTAGCAGGCACTTCAATTAATGATGTTGACCTCCGATTCAGAGGCATCTGCACTTCTCAGATACCAGAAGAATGGAAACACGAGGGCTGTGTTCAAAATCACTCTGCTGTTCACTCATCACTTCTCCCTATAGAGCAGAAACCCGAAGCACTCTGTAGTGAGCAGTGATGTCAGACACTTACTAATCCTCTTCATTCTTTGTCATCACTAACAGGTGGAGAGTCGCACTGTCATTTTTTGCTATTTCGATAAAACACAGAGCATTGTGGGATTGCAGAAAGTAGTGTACATGGATGGACATAACTTTTTGAGGGCTCTGTATAATGGATACAGTTATACACACTCACAAAATAGTGGACAGTAAATGTAGTGTACTATTTAGTAATTAGGGAGTGACTTCAGACACAGCCCTGTACAGTCTAATGCAGTATAATACATTAGTCCTACAATAAATCCTTCATGTATTTCCACTTTTGTTCGGTGTTTTAGAGGTGTTGATTCCACCTTATGGTCACTTTGTGCACTTATGCTGCTGAATAATATGGTGTTACTTTGAGGGGTTTCTAATGTTTTGTCTACTGTATGAAGATGACATTTTAATATGTGACACAAGGCATACTACTTTCCAGCGCCGTCGTTAGCCCTGGGCATCCGGGGCTATAGCCCCAGATGTTTTTTGAAAAGCCCCGGATCTCAGAAGGATTTTTAAAAAACAAACAACAAAAGGCTGAAAATTGAACTTGCTTAACTAGCGTTAATGCGAGAGAGATTATTGTTATTATTTATTCTGCTGCACATTAGCGGAGAATAAGATGATCCAGCTGTAGCTCTGTGTCTGTCCTCTCTGCTCCACCTGAAGCTTTGAGCTGCACTTTATCAGAGGCGCTGAAATTAACTTGTGGATTTGTGGTGAGGTTAATCACCTGATCTATGTTTGGTCCCCCTCTTTCCTAATGTAAAGTTTTATTTGGCATTGCCTTCCTGGCTCAGGCGATTTCGGAGCTGGCTCATATAGGAGGCGGTTTACTAAGAGACCAGTCACAAAATGTTGCCGATAGAAATGTTGAGGGAGGAAAATAAAGTTGCTCGATGCCGGTGCAGCTTCTTCTTTTGTGCTGCTGTTACTTCTAGCTGATACTGATACCTGTTACTGCCACAATCATTCTTTGCATTGTGAACATTATTTAGATGTTTCAGGAATAATCAGATTGTTTTGGCAGCCTGGTTTGGTTGGCTACATGTCCATAATAAAAAGCACAGGCAACAAAAGTTGGCTGGGCAGCAAAAGTGATACTTTAAAGTGATCTTATAAACACCTCCATGGAGATTTAAAAAGGAAAAGCTAAATAAGATAATACTTCACTGCATTTGCAGGAATATTTTATAATATATATATATAATAAGTTGCCTGGTCTGATGCAATAGACAGTCCATTTTTACTCTGATAGCCTATCTTGACTTTCCTCATGTGAACACATAAGGGCTGTGATCCTGCACAACAAAACATGCAAGAATTAAATCCACACACTACCATGGATCACTTCCACACGGTGCGGCACGCAGATGGACCACAGATTAATTGCAAAGTTTATGATGATTTATCCTGTTTGACCTCAATCAGGGCCGCCCATTAGAGGGGAAAAAGGGGAAAGCTTTCTGGGGCCCAGCTGCTAGGGGGGCCCATACAGTCCAGCACTAATGATCAACAAACAAACCAAATTTTATTTTGAATCAAAATACTCACCATTACTTATTAAAATAACAAAAAATTACAATTTATTTAATGTTTCTTTAGTAAAATATAGCCTGTTTCATAATGAAAACCCCCTCTCCTGAAAATGGTATGAGTAATGTTTGTTGTACCCAACATCCGAACATCAAAAGTGAGCCGCATGCGGCAGCCCATGTCTGTGTTTATGTAGGAGATAGAGAGAGAGCACAGCATGCATTGACATGAGTGAAGCAGATTTAGGGAGGGCCCATTAACTGGACCTTTTCAGGGGCCCAGTCATTTTTGTGGGCAGGCCTGGAGTCAATTATTATGTGAAGATATGAAGTTTTATGGGCTGGGCTAAGCCCCCAATGTTTCAAGATCCTAAAAACGCCCCTGCTACTTTCTGTGTGTTATGTATGTTTAGTAAAGCCCTGACTACACTGTCAACATCAGAGTAAGAAACTATGATCATAAATTATTTGTGCAGTTGATATCATTTGAAGTTTCCTGTTTTCAACATGTGTGTTCTCCAAGCCACATAAGTGATATGAGGGCACATTTCCCTACATCTTGTACGTATATATCCACATGAACTGTATGTCTTTCTGTGCGAATGGACACTATTGAATGCAGCTACTGTACATTACATTACACTACACTTTCATCCAAA